CAATCAACCAAAAAAAAAATCTAAGAAAGTATATATATCATGGTGTATTGAAGGAACAAGAAAAAAAAAAAACTGCATTCACATAACTACCTTAAGCAGGAAACAAAAAAAAATCAAAAAACCAACCTTAAAATCGGTGGTGAAGATAGGTATATCACCGAAAATCGTTTTCTATGGCGGTGGTCACCGTTCTTGCCGGCCGGCGATAGTGTTTTAGGGCTCCAAAACCGGAAACAAATCCCCTAAAATAGGAGTAAAAACTAAAACTATTACTAATTAAGAAGAAATCAAGGACCAAGACCCTTACCTTTTAGCTCGCCGATGAAGTGGAATGCCAGTAACTGCCTGCGATCGCTGAAGCTTAAGAGGAAAATGGAAGGGCAGCCGACTGGAAAATGAAGACCGAAAGCGTGTTTTGTTACAAGGAAACCTATAGAGACGGCTTGTCGTCTCTATAGGTAAACGAAAACGGCGTAGTACCACTTCACGTCATTAAAAAATAAAATAAAATAAAAAAGGGTTTTCACGCGCATCGGTCCCACCTTTTCCAGACGACATGTCGTCTGCATAGCGTGACCAAAACGACATCGTATTCCATTTCTGCAAAACGGATAAAAAATAAATCGAAATTAATTTTTAAACACCCTATACCGACGACATGTCGTCTGCATAGGGTGACCAAAACAACATCGTATTGATTTTTTGCGACAAGGACTTGAAATAAATCGAAAATATTTTTTAATTCCTCCTCCCAACGACATGTCGTCGGTATAGATATTCGATATACCGCCAATATTTTGCACTTCCCGCCGAGCCTATGCAGACGACTTGTCGTCAGCATAACTTTTCTGGTCAAAGACATATGGTCAATGTTTGAAAACGCTGTCCCGACGACATGCCATCTCTATAGATCGACTTTTGCCGACGACATATGTAATCTGGATAGGTGCCGTCTGCAAAGGGCTCGATCCTTGTAGTGATAATGGCGGTGATGAAGCGTGACAAAGGTCCCTACTAGAAAAGTGACGTTGCATCAGCGACACATCATCTTCGCCACATCCTTATTACTACAACACTAAACATTTGTCATTGATCACCACTCCACATCATTCTATACTTTTTATTTCTATTTTTTTGATATTAGATTAAATAAAAAAACATAATTTTTCAAATTAAATAAACATTTTACAAGTAAAAAAATTACATTAAAAACCTACATTACTAAATGAAAATACATAAAAAATAAAACTTAGAAATTTAAACCTGCCTTACTAATAGAAACATAGAAATTAAAACATAAATACTAAAACCTACATAGATAGATAAAAAACATCAAATTAATTGCCGTATTTTTGCAGACATATCGTTGAATTTTTAGAAATGTTGCAAGATTTTTGGGTCGATATCTGGCTGGGACTTTGTGTTCAACATTTTAAAATCCTTAAGTGCTAAATAAGGGCAAAAAGTCATTTTATGTACATCCTTTTGGCAGGTACGGTCAAATTTGGAAAATTAAAATTAACAATAAGTTCTTCAAATTAAACAACTATGTAATAAGGCAAATTTTAAAATCCAAGAAATAGTATATGCTGTCGTTATAACACAATCGCAAAAATCACGAAAATAAATCAAAATTAGAGGCTTAAACAATGAAATTTGAAGATTGACCGAAGGGCTCCCGCTCATCGAGAACTTTCCGTTGATATATCACACGCCTCCAAATTCCATAGAGTCAAAAGTTACGTCTGTTTTAAGTTGGATCCCTTTTGGTCCTTTGTATTTCTTCTATTTGTTCATAAACGTTTCTATCAGATCATATATATAGTCCACATCATAATGAAAGTGAAGAAGACCCACACACATGATATTCCGATGGGCATATTAATAAAAGCGGCTATATAAAGCAAATTTAAACTTTGCTTAGATTTCCTTAAACCGATAGTTGGAAATACGAGAAAACTAGTTTTAGTTAATGTGGAGATTTGTTGTATGTCTGTATACAACTTTAAACAATTTAAATATAAGGGCTTATTATGCAAGGAAGGTAGTTATAATAGTATAAAATAAGAGAAAATTACAAAAATAATCAATTTTCTTAATTACTTTGTAGAAAATAGCCAAAAAACCCTAACATTACAAAAATAACCATCAAAATCGAAGATGGATTAAGCCCATCTGCGATTTCCCCATTTGATCTGCGGATGTACAAATCGGTAAAGCACGGGCACGTATTATGAGTTGTACGTTCGCAGATGTTTTTATTATTTTTATTTTTTTTTTCCGATATAAATACCCTCACACCTGACTAAAATCGCAGATGAACTTAGTCCATCTACGTTTTCCTCTGAAGTTCATCTACGATTTTGGGGTTTTTCGTTTATTTTATTTTATTTTTTTTATTTTGACTATGAAACTGATAGAGTTTGACTACGAAACAACCGTATTATATATAAAGTTTTGCAAAAAATTATCACATAAACTATATCTATATAAACGAATTTTCCAAGGAAATAACAAATAATTTTTTGTAAGACTTTATATATAATATGGTTATTTCGTAGTCAAACCCTATCAATTTCGTAGTATATATATATATATATATATATATATATATATATATATATATACTACGAAATTGATAGGGTTTGACTACGAAATAACCATATTATATATAAAGTCTTACAAAAAATTATTTGTTATTTCCTTGGAAAATTCGTTTATATAGATATAGTTTATGTGATAATTTTTTGCAAAACTTTATATATAATACGGTTGTTTCGTAGTCAAACTCTATCAGTTTCATAGTCAAAATAAAAAAAATAAAATAAAATAAACGAAAAACCCCAAAATCGTAGATGAACTTCAGAGGAAAACGTAGATGGACTAAGTTCATCTGCGATTTTAGTCAGGTGTGAGGGTATTTATATCAGAAAAAAAACTAAAAAGAAAAACCATCTGCAAACATACAACTCATAATGCGCGTGCGTGTTTTACTGACTTGTACATTCACAGATCAATTGGGGGAATCGCAAATGGGCTTAATCCATCTGCGATTTTAATGGTTATTTTTGTAACGTTGAGTTTTTTTTTCTACAAAGTAATTAAGGAAATTGGTTATTTTTGTAATTTTCTCTAAAAATAACCTTAACCCACTATTTGTATGGTTAATGACATCGTAATCATCTCTCTTCTCATTCAAGAAGATAATCAAGCAAAGCAACCAGGTTGTAGTTCTACAACCGGTAGTGCAGTTGATCAATTGTGTATCAAATTCCACTTCTTCTACTTGCCATTTCGAGTTCCATTTAAGAATCATACACACATTAGATTTGGAGAACACCGTAGGAGTTGAAGGAACGGAATTAGGACTAGAAGTCTTAAAGACGCAAATTAGATAACATGTTAAACTCCATTGTTGAACATAAACGAAAAAAAAAAAAAAAAGATCCCAAACGAAAAGCCATGCCTTCACTGTCAAAGCTCCAACACACTTGTAGGTAATTAATTCACAAAGAAGTCATATAGATTGGATATGAACAACGAAACTACACCTAGTCCTGAATTCTTGATCAAGATAATGCTAACTTAATTACATTAAGACACTTTAATTGCCTTTGGTTGACTGGTGAAAATATGTCATAATTTTACATGGTGTCATCATCAGCAAGTAATCTCAGTCTTTGGAGATGAGGCATGACAACCTTACCAAGATCTGGCCTGTCTTTTCTTCTTAACTCTACACAACCAAGTGACAACTTAGCAAACCCTAGAGCCTCTTCAACAGGCCAATCAGTCACTGCTGGATCCAATATCTCAGCAAAAGTTCCTTTCTCAATAGCTCTTTCAACATGATGAGATAAACCCATTGGTGGTCTAGCTGTAATTATCTGTAAAAGCATAACCCCTAACGAATAAACATCCGATTTCACACCAAGCATTCCCGTTTGCTGATACTCAGGATCTATATAACAAAACGTCCCTGCTGCAGAAGTCATATGGTATTGAGTCACTGAGTCTGCAATCGATGGTGGCACCAATCTGGCTAACCCTACGTCAGCTATTTTGCTTACGAAATTTCTATCAAGTAAAATGTTAGCAGGTTTTAGGTCACGATGCACGATTGGTTCAGGCTTTGTTTGATGGAGGAAAAGAAGACCACTGCAAATCTCAGCTGCTATTCGAAACCTATGTTGCCATGAGAGAGGTGGGGTTTTGTTTTTTCTTAAAAGACAATCTTCTAAGCTTCCATTTGACATGTATTCGTAGACTAGACATCCGTATTCTGGACATGCTCCTAGAAGAAGAACCATGTGAGGATGACGTATGCAACACAACACTTCGACCTCTTGTTGAAACTGTGATCTCCCTTGAGCTGCATCAGGCCGAAGAACTTTAACAGCAACAGGTGTGTGATCTAGATGACATTTGTAAACTGGACCATAACCTCCTTCTCCTATCCTACGAGCAGCTGAGAAATATTCTGTTGCTTCTTCAATTTCATCGATCGTGTACCTTCTATATCTGGCATCATATCTCTGAGTGGATTCAGCTGCATTTTCTTTCTCAGCAACCCCAGTTGTAGATTCTTCTGTTACACGTGCTTCTTCTATCTTTTGTTGCTCCTCGAGTTTCCATTTCTGAAGCTCCATAGCCTACAACAACCATTCAGTGTGATCAATGAGGTATAATCAAACTTCTGAGGTACAAATTAATTATAGCATACCTTCTGTTTTGCTGTAAGGGCTTCCTTGCATGCCGTACTGTACATTTCCATTGTTTTTGTGAGTTCCTGCTTTAGCCTTCTCATCTCTGCTTCAACATCTTCCTAAAACCTCCAAAAGATTCATAATTTAGAGCCTAGTTATGGTTTGAGTTAGAATGAAATTGTACGTAGCTACATGTCAAGAATGAAACTGTAAGAACGAATTTACGAAATTTAGTACGTACATTGTTGGAGAGAGATGTTCTAGGACTATCGAATGTGGAGTATGACATATCATTTGCGCTAATTACATCTACTGATTTTCGCCCCAAATTATACGAATCGTAACCTGGGTTTTCTAATTCTGAGAAGCTAATCCGTGAGTTTGCACCAACAATGTCACTGTCAAATAAGACATTGTCGGCGCTCGGTCTACCAGCGCTGACGAAAGAAATGTCAGAATCCGGTGGGAGCAATTCTCCATAAGGTTTACCATTCGGGCCTTTTCTATTGGTGAAGGGTGACCTGTTTTCAATCATAATTAGTCTTATTGAAATGTTAATAAATGCTAGTTATATATAATGGCATACTTCATGGTGTTTGAGTCATTGGAAAAAGTACTGAAAGGCGACTCCATGGATTGTCTGGGAAAAGATAAGTCCACAGACTTCCGTGGCCCTGGCATTGCTGATGGAAAGAAAGTAAAATCAAATTTAATAATTAATATATAGAAAAGAACATGTCAAATTAAATGCAAATGAAAAATTGTAGTACAAAAGAAAAACCTTTTATTGGTAGTATTTTGTCGGTTGAAACTTTGGCTGGTGCAGTACTTGGTTCAGGCGGTATATGGGTACGAAGTGGAGAGATGAATGGAGGAAGACGTGAAGCAGCTTTCGTGGCTGAAATCTTTCCTTTGGAAATCACATAAACAGTGCAAAAATCCGGCGCCCCTTTTAGTATAGTTGATGGAGCATCTCTTGTTTTGAATCTCCTATAATAACACATTACAATCATAGATTAATCCTAGTCAGAATCTGCAAAAAAGTTATTCTTCATATGTCATAACTCATATGTACATCAAGTATACATTGACTACTAACTACCAAGTGTTGAAGTAGTATGTACTTGAGAATACCGCCTTTTGAAGGGGCTCCAATAACTAGAACTTCTACAATTGAGTGTGTGGCAAAATCGACTAGTCCTTTGACAACGTCTGTATCTTCTAGCACCACTTCTTGTGATTTTATCTATCTCATGAAACAAAACTTATGTTTAAGGATATGTAAGTGTGGCATTTTGTGAAGATAGATATTTAGGAAAAAGGTTAATGAGACTAACTTCCTTTCTTGTACAAAAACATCGAAACGGGAGGAACAACTCTCTGAGTTGCGCGTCGGTGTTTATCAAAAACGAGTCATCACTGAAATCGGTACTTTTGTTCGGTTCTGCACATAATTGAAAAGCATTTCAAGATTCATTAATTTATTTTTCAAGATTGATGTGGAATTTTAAACATTTCAAGAAAAAAAACTCTAAGAAATTCATTGATTAAAACAGAAGAAAAACACAACAAAAATAAGCTAAAATTAATCTTTGAATATATATGTGAGAAAGATAGAGAAAGGGCAATTACTTTGTTTAAGTTTAACATGAACCAAATACACAATCTGGCCCTTGCCCACAAGATTATCAACAGCCCATTTTAATGCACTTTGGCTTCCTTTGTCCCTATCAATTGCAACTGCTATTGTTTTATTGTTCATTTTTTATCACCTGTTAGCTTATTTCATACCCATTAAAAAAGATGAAAAAACTCCAAGAATCTTTACTTGAATTCCTCTCCAAAATTTCTTCAATCAGATCGAGAAATTGTATTGATCTTCTTTGAACCTGTAACTGGATAAAATGCCTAAAACAGTCACAAGTTTCTTTGACGTTTTCTGTTGCCGATCTTTCTTTCCATCTGTAATAAAATTTTGTTCTTCTTTGCAGTTGAATTTTTCTTGTTTTGTCTCTCAATTTCATCCGTTTTCTTTCTTTTCCTTTTTAATCTCTTGAAAACTTTACTTCCACCCAATTTTACAGGGGCTCCATCTTTTGAGGGGCAAGGGAGTTTTTTTTTTTTACGTAATTAAATGAAACAATTTTGAAAATCTATTCCGGATATCATGAGAAATTTAAGATGATTTTGCGTTCCCCTTACTTTATTGAGTTCACATCTCCCAAATAATGCCAAATCAATGTCTAGACAGAGTTTTATAAATTCCTATTTTAAATACTTATTGCATTTTGAATTATATATGTTACGGTTAATGTCTTAATGCCAATCAATTAATGGTCATTTTGGACCCATTATGCCGTCAATTGCTTTTTTGACCTTAATTAGTCATTGAATTTTTTTTTATTTTTTGTCAAATTTTCTATTTTGAACAATTTGATTGAACCAACTGTTGAAACTGATGAAACGTCTTTACCATGGCATCCTACATGAGGTTGTGCAGTAACACAAAGGATTATCTTATCTGACCAATATTTTTTACAACATGAAGTGGATTTTGATTACCCTAAGTTAAGTTATGATTGATATGTGCATAAATTGGCAGGAAGTTGCTCCGATCAATATTTTTTACAATGTGAGGTTGCTCCGATCTCCTTTCCTCTTGGTGGTACAGTGGCGTCTCCTATGTCTGATCTGATTTACAACCGACAGGTTGGCTGTGGTTGCTTTTGAGGGAGGTGTCTTCCTCCTTCATTTGCTTAGTGTTGATCATGAAGCTCAGATACCAATTAAAGACTAAAAAAACACAAACTATATGGAATGACTCTCTAATTTATTGAGAAACCAACATAAAACTCAATTACAATGTTGGTGATGCACTGACCATAACTCGGTATGCATGTGTATATATATAGCTTACAACTAAAGCTATTAGATTAGGATACTAATACCTAACTTATACAAGGAAAGCCAACTTGCATCCTTGTCGCCTACGGAAACCACCTTCTATCCTTGGAGACTAAGGAATTCCAACAAAAAGTACCTCCAGTAATTTTATGATTAAAGTGGCACTTGTAGAGTTTAGAAGAAAGAAGTTTCTAGCTTCAATAGACATATTTACTTTGTATGCATCCTTCATGATGGAGTCCTTGGAGATGTTTCCATCTCGAAAGACGGAAGTTGATATAATCATTTGATTCATTCAATTGATTCTTCTATTCTTACTTCTCTAAAGCTAGAGTATTGCACTTTAACAATATAAACTTAATTAGTTTGATCAAGAATAAACATGATGAACACATTAAACAGTCGGTAACTATCACTAAAAGAAAATACCACTTTAAAACTAAAAATCTCAAACATTACGTGTCAATCTTAAATTTTGAAACATAGAAGGTTAGAATTTCACAAAATCGAAACTGTTTTGGACAGAGGTCATAGTCGACTTTTGTTAGTAATGCAGTATCGGTATAGATATTAATTACTCCACACGTCGTGAAATTATCATAAACTCACTAAACAACAAACAAAAAGCTTCATAGAGGAAGAAAAATCAATTATTCTAACAATATGGTCATTTTCTTATTTAATATCCACTTACTCTATCATGCTCCGATCAAACAGATACACGATAATGTTTCAAAACCAACATGTCTATGTCAAGGTTGTCAAAATTAGTATTCTACATTGGATTGCTTATTGGTTTGCAAAATCGGGATTATAAGATCGAATCGGAATTGTAAGATTCTAAAAAAATATTATAAGTTCAACACATGAAAAATATATCTTCATCCATCAGTTGATTGCCCACAAGTTCTAAAAAATTCAAAACATTTATGATAGCTAATACATATCATTTCCAATCTAATCTAACATAACAAACAATGTATCCACAAGTTCTAAAATGTTTAAAACTTCGTTTATGGAATTAAAAGTAAAAAATATATTAGTTTTTAGCCGTATTTATCTAAAAGAAAGTTGTTGTTGACTTGAATACAAATCTGTGGATATAAAGATCATCAAAATCTATGTACATATGAAGAAGTTATGATCATCTGAAGTTGGAAGGTAAAGTACATTGCTCAAATGGGAAAAACAGAGGAAATGTAAGATCATAATAATTCTACAACTCGATTTTACGATTTCACTATGTTGACTTTTGACTAGTTTGATTTTTGGTCAAACTTGGAGGTTTTGAGTTATAGACTAAGGTTTGACCTCTGGTTGGTTTGGGAGTGCATGTAGGTGATCTTGCATGGCTTGGTGTTGTGTCATTTCAACTCTAGATTTAGGTGAGTCTTTTCAACATACTATGTAAGACACAAAGTGTCATTGTATTCTTATTGTGTCTTAGTGAATCTTGTTTGTATGATTTCTTGTTGGGCGAGACTCGCTTATATATATTGTTGGGCGAGGCCCGCATGATTGAAATATGTTTGTTGGGCGGGCCTGTTATTTATGTATCGTATGTTTTATTTTGGGGAACTCACTAAGCTTTGTGCTTATTGTTTCAATTTTAAATGTTTAGGTTGTTCTGGTAGCAAGGAAAAAAGCACAACCTGATTGCATCGTATCCACTGGAAATTCCGCACTATTGACTTTTATGTTATTTACTTTGTATTTGATTTGGAACTTCAAACTCATACTTTGATTACCCCATTGTTGGAATGATATTTGGATGGTTTTACTATAACTAAAAACAAACAATTTACTGTATATTTTCGGACGTTGCATTATTATAACTAGTTTAAATCTAAATTTATCTACAAATTGTAATAATAGTTCTAGAAAGATGCAACTACTCCTTTGGATAACCCAAATAATGATTTTGTACTAAATAGGGTATGGAAGATTTTAACCATCAAAGAGAACATCTCATCCATGTGAAATAAATAAAGGAATAATATGGCATAAAGGGTATTATGGGCCTTTTGCTAAGGGTCATTTTGCAACCTACTTCCCCTAATGAAGTTTTACACATGTTTCTCTCCCATTCCAGAGCTTTAGCTTTTCTTGAATATTCTTTAAGTTTATTTTCATGTCCAAAGGTGAAGTTTGGTGCAAAATCAGTAGTGAATTAAGGTAAATTTTGGCTTTAAATTCTTGAGTGTGTACACTAGAGTTGGATGTAAGGGTATTTAAGTTGATTTATCAACTGAGATCAGTTTTATAATAGTTACACAAATTATGCAGAAATATGTATATCTGGAAATGATAAAGTCGTCTAAAGACTAAATAAAGAGTATTAATTCATTATGGTGAGGAAATTGAGTGGGTTCTATCTGTTGGGGTTGAAACACACTTTTATTCAGAACTAGAACAAAAGAGAAGAGCTTACACACTCAATATTACAAGAAAAAGAAACAACCCTCTAATACTCACTCTAAGTATTACACACTACACTCTCTATTTTGTGGTGTCTTACAACTGATATTACAACTTCTATTTATACTAAAGCTAGCCACTATAAGTACTGTGACAA